GCACCTAAACTCAGATTGTCATTACCTAATTAGTATTCACATTGTGAAGCTTAAACTACACTTCATGCTCATTTGGCTCACCTGTTATCAGTATCAGTAAATAGGGTATTAATAAATCTGGCGTTACCATCAATGCTAAGTGCTAACCAGTAAACATGAAGTCCAAGGAAGATAAAAACATAATCTTACTTGACCTAACCTTACCTACTAACCTAACTAACCTACAACCTCAATACCTACAACCTACCCACCTACAACCTACCAACCTAATATGTGCCGACGGTGACACCAGATTTATGGATACCCTCATTTGTTAGGTACTTTACTCCACTTCTCATTTAATTTGAAGGTCATTTAAATTCTTATATTTAAGTCTGTGTAAACTATTATTTAAAAAACCTGATGCTTTTCCTTGACTTTAAATTGTAATCTCACTGTTTGCTTTGTGTATTTTGTAGTGTGTACTGGGTGCAAATCCATTATCCCACACGTCTTGTATGCTACAGGCCTTGTTTTGATCTGACCAACTGTTAATATGTTTCAGCTTTGAAGACTAGTATCTTTTGAAATTGAAATTTGCCTCTCAGTCTCTCAAGATGCCAAATAGATGTGCAGGATTTGATTGCTGACAAGCCAGAAATAAGGCTCAAGAGATCACCTTGCATAGGCAAGTAAAAGCTACAGATCTTTATTTTTTCATATTGTTACAGGTTATCTGTTACCGAGAGCGATTGCTGTAGTTCAATTTCTTGCATCAAAATCGGCAGAATATGACTTCACTGATCACTCTGAAGTCACTCCCGGCCGACCTATGGTAGCTACACAATTTTTATTTCGATAAAATGTTTCAGATTGTTGCAGCCGAAGGTACTGCAAGTTCGTATTGACACGTCCAGCGGTTTAGAAATATATTGCAATAAATATATTTTTTTAAATATATAAATGTAAATATTTTATTGCAGAAAACGGGAGAGGGGCTCTGTAGAGCCCCACCCTCCAGTCATGCGTGGGTAAAGGCCCATCAGTCACTAAAACCAGAATAAGTGCAAAAAAGTATTACCAAATGCCCGGAGACTGCTTTGCCATTTGCCAACATGTGTGTGTGTGCGTGTGTGTGCGTGTGTGGAGGGGGGGGGGGGGGGTGCGTGTGCGTGTGTGTCAACAATGTGTTAACAAATACGACACTTGTGCCTGGCGTATGTTAACACTAAACACTGTTAGCCATATTTTATTGATACTAATCGAACCTTCCAGGTGGCTAGAACAACCCCAGTGCCGCACAGTTCTGCGGTATATTCCTGCACCTGCTCCACCGCTGCGGCGTCCGGCCCGGCAGCACCGGGAACGTGGCAGCCCTCGAGTCGAGGGCTGCCACGGCACTCCACATCATCACGGAGCACGACTTCCAGCCTGGGCTGTCGTCTGGTGGGCAACATCGTCACCTACATCGCAGGGTTCGTGGTGAAGAAGGCGCTCGACTCTGTCAGCTGTAGCACCTGTCAGGAGGCCCTGATGAGCGACATCCAGCTGGACGACATGACACAGCTTTACCACCTCTTGATCATCTCTGCCAGATCATCTAAGGTGGGGACGGGTTACATGCCTGGGATCTGACTGAGACCCGCTCATACCCTGCCGAAGTGTTGGTGATTTCAGCGGTCAGCTGTCTCTTGCCGGTGTCAGTGAGTCGCGGCCAGCTGCCGCTGGAGTGGGTATCTACCGTTGATAGCTGCTGTGTGGCGGATAGCGTGGATTTGGATGGACACTTCATATTAATGAACAGATCAATGTTGGCCGATAAAAGACGTATTTTGTCGATGATTGCTTAGTGACTGAGTGGGTCCACTGGCGCCCAATGCAGCGGGCGCTAGGTTACCGCCTCGCCTCTTGTGACCGTGTCGATATGTAGCATTGTTAATTGCCGATTCGTTGCCGGCCGTCTCTGCTCCGTGGCTGGCTGATTCGGCACAAACTGGTGTTCGTGGCTGAGGGCGCGGTTTACAGTTACACTAGCTCGCCACGTGCCTGTGCGGCTATCGTCGGTGCTGCCTGCAAGGGCGATGTCGGTGCCTGTAAGGGGCGCGGATTTATTCAAAGTGAGGAATCGGTCATCGGAGCTCGGGTCAGCTCGGGTCTCGCTAGATTTCGAGATGAGGTTGATTGGGAATGATATAACCCATTTCGCCGACGGTTCACGCGTTTTGGTCGATTTTATAGCAAAAGATCTCAAGCTCCAGTGACTTTACTGGTTCGATTTCCAGTGTTTGACCTGACCTCTGAGTTCACCTGTTGACCTAGTATCCTGAAATTTGGGATCACTGGTTTACTCACATCGCGAACAGCATACCTATTTTTTTCCGTTCTTTGAGGGGCGAACGGCTGGAGTTCACTCCGTTCACCCTGGCTTCCCCTACTTGTAAGACGCTGACAAACTATGAACGGGTGAGGGTTAAAATTGCACTTATTGTCGATCATTGTCCATTGCATACTGCATACATAGATATAAAGTATGGAAACCATAATGGGAAACGAATTCAATCTTAAATTAGCATGCCAATTGCATCTACCTTCGGTGCCGCATATCCTTTATCAGCGTCTTCAGGGCTATATGTCTAGGGCTGATGTAATTAAATTACAATAAATACACATGTTTCTGCCCTTGTTTCACAATCTACTCATTCCAAAGAATGCCATAGGCAAAAAAGATTAACACTTTTCGGTCGAAAAATACCACAAAATCTGTCCCAAACACCCCCCTCCTCCCATAGTGTTTACACAGCGGCACAGAGTCTCGACCTCACCAACATGGCGGCCGCTGCTACGTATTCGCGAGTCGCTCCCGACATGGGGGTGCCCTATCTAGTCTTTATATCTATGCTGGTTTCATGGGCGGCGGAACAGGGGGGGGGGGGGCACCGGGGCACCGTGCCCCCCCTTGAATTCTGCAAGGGGGGCACCAATAGCAAGGTGCCCCCCTTAAATTTGATGTATTAGTACCAGGGGCGGATTCGGGAAGACTCCAAGGGGAGGGTCAAGAATCGAAGTGGTGCCCCTACCTATACCCAAAATTAAAACCTCAACGGATTTCGGCCACTTAATTTTGGTGGTGCCCTATTTTCATTTTTTTCTTTGTTTTTGGTTAGTCATGTGATGACTGGTGCCCCTGCTAGGCCGCTGGTGCCCCTGGAAAGACTGTGGTACCTACCTACCCTGCCCCCTGACAAGCCTACGGTGGGCCCTGACATGACTTAGGTGCTCATGGGCCCTGACAGGCCCGTGGTGCCCCTGACAGGCCTGTGGTGTCCTTGCTAGGCCTGTGGTGTCCCTGGGCCTTGGCAGGTCTGTGGTGCCCCTGGCGAGTCTGGGTTTGTGGTGCCCCTGACAATCTTAAAGTGCCAACGACAGGCTTGTGGTGCCCTTGACAGGCCCATGGTGCCCTTGCGAGGCCGGTGGTTCCCCTGCGAAGCCGATAGTGCCCCTAGCAGGCCTCTGGTGCCCCTGGCAGGTCTGTGGTGCCCCTGGAAGACCTGTAGTGCTTTTGCTAGGCCGATGGTGCTCCTGACAGGCCTGTGGTGCCCCTGCTAGGCCTGTGGTACCCCTGGCGGGCCTGTGGTGCCCCTGTCGGCTGTCAGGCCTGTGGTGCTCCTGGCAGGCATGTGGTGACCCCAGGCCTTAAGTCATGAGTCGACCCATGTGACCTCCCCCTGGGATTCGCCACTGATTAGTACTGCGATGGCTTCTTGGGAATTCGATACATGTAGGATAAATGGAATTTATCAAACGACAATAAGGAAGAGACAAACACATAGGTACTTGAGGATCAGCTTAAAGTTAACCACACATACGGGGGTAAACTGCCATTTTCGTTTAGTAAAAAAAAATAAAGAAAAAATAAAAAAATCATCGTGTCAGGGCTTTGACGAAAAATAAGTGGCCTAAATCCGATGAGAAAACAGGATTTGGGGGTACCCTAGGTTTGGCTCCTTGAGCTGGTGCCCCCCCCCCCCTTATCTCAAATCGTTCCGCCGCCTATGGCTGGTTTAGGTAGCTAATGGCCGCAGCTCCCTAAATATTGGTCATTTCCCATAGGATTGGATATTGCAATGCAGCTTTCCGACCCTTTGTACCAATGACGTCACGGAAATCGCTGCCTCGACCTAATGAGCAAACCTTCGAATTCGATATAGCCTTCCTTGCCATATTCGTATATTCGTCTTCCGGGCAGCTATGTGTATGTGAAGAGGGGAATGTGATAGTTTATGGCACATTTTTGTGTATTTATAGGATGAATAATGTTTGTCTCTTGTATTCAACTCAAATATTTCATCTCGGTGAACGTCATATGGGCGTTAGATTGTGGTCACCTAGTTTTAATTTAGATGTATGGAAATGGAAAGAAGAGGATGTTCCTCTTCCCATACCCACTTCCCCACGTCAAGGTCAGTGAGGTAACAATGTTTGACGGGCATGCTGCTTGGCACTTAAGTGTTTGAGGGACTGATGAACTCTTTTTTTCAAATTTTTTTGAAAAACACTGTGTGCCAGACTGCAAAGCGTGTCAGTCAACAAAGTTCACAAGCAGCATTAGCTAGTGTGACATTGCTCCAGCCTACCACAGACTAAAAATCTGCACTGGCCTCTGCCCACCAGCCTACACTGAGCAAGATTGATATTTTTCACCTCAGAATTAAGATATATACACTCTTGGGTCTTGAGCATAACGGAAAATCTCCACTATAAGTCATAAGACTCATAATTCATTTCACAGCTGATTACAATTTGCATGATGTCTCTGACTGTACCTTTTCTTGGACTATGATGTTATGTTGTGCATCATCCTAAAATCATGATTAGGTATGCATGGGATCCTGCAGATCTTGGATTCTGAAATTGTGAACTTGCGTGGGATCTTGGGGATCTTGGACCCTAAAATATTCTGATATTGCGTGGGATCTTGGAGATCTTGGATCCAGCTATCTTGATTGGCGTGGGATCTTGGGGATTTTGGATCCTACAATTTTGATTTTGCGTGAGATCTTGGAGATCTTGGATCCAGCAATCTTGATTTGGTGTGGTATCCTGGGGATCTTGGATCCTACAATTTTGATTTTGCGTGGGATCTTGGGGATCTTGGATCTTGAAATTATGATTTGCGTGAGATCCTGGGGATCTTAGATCCTAAAATTTTGAAATTGCGTGGGATCTTGCAGATCTTGGATCTTGATTTTTGGGCGAGGCACAAGTCTGTTCCTGTATTAGTATTACAGTAGTGACCAACGTTTGGCTATACACCCCTTAAGTGCCCTTTTGGCATACGAGTCAATATAGAGGACTACTCAAATGCCTCTCCTGACCAAACTAAGAAAGATACAGAAACCAGGTCACCGCCGTTCGATAGCCCTTGAATGCATCTAAAGTACATATATCTGAAAATGAAGACTCTGCCTTTCTTAGTCTTGCCGCTAGATGGCGCTAAAGTTGCTATATAATACCGCCAGTTTGCAAAGCCGGACCAAAATGCGGTTCCGATACGTTGTAGCCACATAAATTGTGCATCGACTGACACAAGAAACTTGAAGATCGGTTCAGCCATTTTAAGTCTAGAAGCTTCTAAGGACACAACTTTTAGCTATACACCCCTTAAATAATCTTTTAAAATACGAGTCAATACGGATGTCTACTTAACTGCCTCTCCTGACTAAACTAAGAAAGATACAGAAACCAGGTTACCGCTGTTTGGGTAAAGCATTCCTTTACGATGTTTGGGTAAAGTATTCCTTTACGTAATTGTCGCAACTGCGCCATTATCGCGAGTTTGGTAGCAGACGCCGAAATATGGTAACCGAACTCGACGCCATACTGTTTTGTACATGGTTGGTGATTCTCGGAATAGACGCCTGTCGGGAAGGACGCTGCCTGTTGGAGAGGACCGGGGGAGTTACTCGGAGAACACGCCTACACGGGATCTGAATCACGAAACATGGTGCCGAAACCCCCATCAAGGTTTGATTATGCCATACCAGGTAAATGGAGGGATTGGCGTGCGGAATATATGATGTACCACCGGCTCTCAAAAGTGGATAAGGAAGATGGGGACTTTCAAGTTAGCTCACTGCTGTCCTGCATGGGTATGCCTGAGTCTAACCACATTTTTTGAAATGTTTGCTTTGTCTCAAGAAGATGTGAAGAAGTTTGCAACTGTTCTGGCTCGGTTTGATATTTTGAGCCTTGTAAGAATGTGATTCATGAAAGGGCAGTCTTCCATGATAGATAACAGAGGCCAGGAGAATCAGTATCAGAATTTTTGAGAGCATTGCATGTGCTGGCACGATTGTGTAACTTCTCTGATCAAGAGGGCATGATACGAGACAGATTTGTCATGGGATTAGCCGACAGAGAAGTTACCGAACAATTGATGCAAATGGAACAATGTACTCTCTCGCAGGCTGTGCAGATCGCTGGAAGGCGTGAGATGGTGAGAGGTCAGCTGAATCGGCAACCACAGCAGCAACCACAGCAGCAGCAGCAGCCAGTGGAGGTGAAGCTGGACAAGCTGGACTACAAGCGGCAGAAGCGTGAACAGCCCAGACATCAAAGCCGACAGCCTCCCAAGGACTCTGCGAACTGCAGCTTCTGCGGAGGACATCACAGCAAAGGCAAGAAATACTGCCCAGCTAGTAACAAGGTCTGTTCGAAATGTGGAAGGAAAAATCATTTTGCTAAGGTATGTAAATCACCAGAAGTACAGGAACTTGTTCATGACATACAAGAAGATACACTGTTACTGGGTCATGTAGACGCTGAGCGGTCACCGTGGATCGTACACTTGAAACTGTGTGGGAAAAAGGTTCCGTTTAAGATAGATACAGGAGCTGACGTCACTGTAATCAGTAAGGACACTTACTCAAAGATGTCTTGGAAGCCTGCGCTGCAGCCCGTGAAGCAAAACCTGACTGGTCCAGGGGGTTCTGTGTCATGCTGTGGCTCGTTCAGGACTCAGGTCAGGTTTAAGAATGAGTTTCACCAGCTGCATGTGTATGTTGTTGATGGTCTGGACAGAAACCTGCTAAGTCGTGAGATGGCTGTGCAGATGAAGATGGTGTGTCGCATTGATGATGTTCTGCCAAAAGACCCTGCGGAGGAGCCCCTGGGCACGATGGTCGGTGAACCGGTCCGGATCCATCTCCGAGAGGACGCCCAGCCCTACTCTGTGAGCTCCGCAAGGCGCATTGCGTTGCCGCTCCTGCCAGCTGTCAAAAGGGAAGTACAGCGCATGCTCGATAGCGACATAATTGAACCTGTTACCACTCCATCAGATTGGTGCGCCCCAATTGTGCCTGTAGTCAAGAAAGGTTCAGAGGATGGTGGAGAACCGAAAGTAAGGTTGTGTATAGATTTTAAGAAACTGAACCATGCCATTAAACCACGAAGGACATCGATCTGGCTCCGGTTCGCTGTCAGCGGATGCTGCTTCGACTGATGCGGTATGGGTTTGTTGCTGAGCACTGCCCGGGGAAGCAGATGGTAGTGTCTGACCTGTTGTCTCGACAGCCCTTGGACGTTGACTCAGGAGACATCCGCCACGAGAAGCCTGGTGATCTAGAAGAGGTCCAGCTGTACGTTGACGCCGTGGTGTCCGGTGTCCTGGAGGACGCCAAGCTGGAAGAGGTCAAGTCGGCTCAGGAAGGCGATCCGGTGTTGAGGAAGGTAGCAGAGGTCACGGAGAAGGGATGGCCGGCTACAGCTACTGAACCAGAGATGGAGAAGTTTCGAAGCCTTCAAGACAGCCTGTCCGTGGTGAGCGGAGTGCTATGCTACGGATCCAGAATCCTGATTCCAGAGTCAATGAAGAGGGACGTGCTGAAGCGAATCCATGCTGGTCACATCGGTTTGAACAAGAGCCGACAGGTGGCTAGGGAGAGTGTGTTCTGGCCGAGGTTGAGCGAGGACCTGAAGAACTTCATCGAAGGATGCGACTTCTGCCAGGCTCAACGACCCAGACAGCGGAGTGAGCCACTGATTCTGACACCCTTGCCGCAGAGTCCCTGGAGGAAACTCGGAGCTGATATTCTGGAGCACAAGGGAAAGTCGTACCTTGTGATTGTTGACTTCCATTCCAGGTATCCTGAGATCCTGCAACTATCGTCAATTACAAGCGAACAAGTTATCTTGAAAATGCAGTCTGTCTTTGCGCGATTTAGATTGCCCTGCGAGCTGATCACTGATGGAGGGACGCAGTTTACCAGTGCGCTTTTCCAGGAGTTTTCCAGGGAGTGTGGTTTTATCCACACGGTGACCAGTCCGCATTTTCCGCAGGCTAATGGGGAAGCGGAACGAGCGGTCCGCACTGCTATAGTTCGTTTTTTTTTTTTCAAAAGGACGCTGGCTCCAAGTATGTTTTTCGAACAAGCACGTGTTTTAGCGAGCAAAACGAGCAAAAACTGAACCTGAGAAAATCGAGCGTCGACTAATTTTAACATGTGATTTCTTCCCGATAATTTCCATATGGGCGTTTTGGAAGCAGATATGAGAACAGCGGTGACGTCATGCTGTCGAACATGTATTTCAATGTAACTTATGACTATCATGGACGGAACCGCTCACTCGATTATAAGCTCGGCAACAGTGAAAAACTAAGTTTCACCCAAATTCGTTGACACTTGTCCCACTGCACGGGCATTTGGGTGCCTGCTGCCACCAGTGACGTCATCATAGTATGTTCATTTTTAAGAAACAATTTCCAGCTACTTACCGTGCAAAATTTGAAATCGATTATTTTTTCGGTAAGAAATTCTTGGCCAGACACTGAAGCTGCCAAAACTCACGTGAGAGCTTCGATATTGAACTTTGAGCCAGCGTCCTTTTGAAAAAAAAACGAACTATAAGCACCTGCTGAAACAGCCTGATCCCTGGATGGCTCTTCTCGCCTACAGAGCAGCACCTCTGCACACTCTGGGTCTCAGCCCTGCCGAGCTGTTGATGGGGCGGAAGCTGCGGACGACCGTCCCGATGCTACCGCAGAAGTTTCGGCGACGGGATGATGAGGTCAGGCGAGCCGACGAGAGGCTCAAGATGAAAGGTAAGAAGAATTTTGATTAGAGGAAGGGAACAAAAGTGCTGCCTGACTTGATGCCTGGTGATAAAGTAAGAGTAAGGACTGATCAAGAGAAGGAGTGGAGCTCACCAGTGACCGTTGCTTCAAAGGAAAGTTGTCGTTCATATTGGATCTCGGATGGTCAGGGACAGTGGAGGAGAAACCGTCATCATCTTCTAGGTCCGTTACCCATCGCCTGTACTGACGTCGCTGACACCCCGCAGATTGCCTCTGGCGAAGTCCGAGCCCCGAGATCAGCAGTCCTGCCCAGCGGTACGTCTAGCTGGCCCGGCGATGACTCAGCCGACCAAGTCGGCGAAGGCTCGGCAGACCGGCCCGGTGAAGGCTCGGCAGACCGGCCCGGCGAAGGAACGCCGGGAGCAGCGTCCCGGTCCGGTGACGGGCGGGGCCGAGTTACCCGTTCCGGGAGAGTTGTGAGACCGCCGAGGCGGATGGATCTGTGAGTCATTTGTCTGTGATCTCATACTTGTTTAAAGGGGGGGGGGAGATGTTTGGGTAAAGTATTCCTTTACGATGTTTGGGTAAAGTATTCCTTTACGTAATTGTCGCAACTGCGCCATTATCGGGGTGAGACTAAATGCTTACTTCGAAATCTAAGCTGTGTTGCGGAATTGGCGGTTATGTGCGGCGTGTATGCCGCATGATTAGTAAGCGGCGACCACTAAATTAAAGACTTAAACGCTCCAACCTGTTTTCAATGAATAACACTGCATACCAAAAATGCCAATCGCTCTCGTCATAAGATATTTAGATTTAAATAACTAAGTTATCTGCATCATCATTTTGAACCAAATTAATGCTTTCAACTTAGTACTCACTCATTCCTTCCTTCGTTGGCTCCAAACAGTCTTTCGATTGTCTGGAAATCGTATGCCAAATCCCGCACCTGTATACGACTGGTGCATATAAAGGCCGATGTAAAAATTTCAATAGGCTCTCGCATGCGATTTCCTGGCTACCCTAAAAGTCTGTTTCAGTCATGCTATCAAAACATGGTATGTCAGCCCTGTCACCAGCTTATGACTGCTCTGCTTGTAGTGCCCCTGACCGTCACCGACTCCCTTCCCTCCTTAAAAGCCTAGTTTCCCTCCATCATCTCTACTAGATTTAGGTGATGCTCCGACAAATTCACAAACAAGACCGAACTTGTTCGGAGTTCGGACTGTGAGTTAACCCTCGCCCTTTACGGGGGGGGGGGGGGGGGTCGAACGGACTCCCCTCGGTTTTTCGCGAATAACTCGCGTAAAAAGCGGCCGATCACAACGTAACTTTTAGTACCCTCGCGTATATTTTCACGACATGCGTATTGCGTACCTATGATAGGTAGGTATAACTACGTGATAGTTGAAAATGATAAAATGAGAGAAACAATTTAATGCCCTTGAAATGGTATATGAGAGGGCCGTGTCTCCGAGAGCCGGTGCTAATAGCAGGGACAGCGCTGGACTGACTACCTGCAGCGCGCACACACTGTGTTACTCAGCCTTAACCCTCGCCGGCACAGGGGGGGGGGGATGCAACCCCCCTAAGGTTTTTCGCGAATAACTCGCGTAAAAAGCGGCCGATCGCGACGAAACTTTCAGCACCCTCGCATTAATCAACTTTACACCTACCCTGAAAATTTCATGACCCTGACGCAAATAACCTTTGACCTGTGGCCTACTTTTCGAGACCATGTTTGGCCGGAACCGCGATTCAGCGTATGTCGGCTCGCATTAGCAGCGCGTTTGCAGTCTTTTCGTGGTTTCAAGCGTTCAAACATGTGATATGATGTTGCCCCCATGCATTAGGGTGGGTGTCAAGGTCACCTGAAGGTCAGGTCAGGTCATTGACCTTTGGTGACCTCGGAAACAGCGCAGCACGGTTGACTTCAACCGACGACATGGGGCGCGACCTCTCCCTCCGCTGTACCCAGGCGATGTCGTCTCAACGAGGCTGCCGGGAGAGAAAGCCTGGTCCGACAGGCAGACATTGATCGGCACTACCGGTGACCGGCAGGGTTCTGCTCGACTAGAAAAAATTGTCGACTCGACTCATCATTCAACTTCAGAAAGCTCTGATTCAACTCTGACTCAAACAAGGAGTTGATTTTCCCTTGACTCGACTCATGACTCAAACGGCTCAATGAAAATATGAGTCGACTCAAACTTGACTCAATTTTTTTGTTGAGTCAAGTGAGTTGACTCAAAATTGACTCAGATAAAAAAGTTGTTGAGCGGGGGTGTGAAAAAATTCGGCAGCAGGGCCAGGGCTAAGTTGTTAAGCGGGGGGAGGGAATGAAAAGCTTTTATATATTGTCTCTAGAAAGTTGAGTCAGCTGACTCATGTTCCTAAATGTTTGACTCAACTCAATGTGAAAAGTCATTTTACTGACTCAACTCTGACTCAACTCAACACCTTAATATATTTGTCCGACTCAACTCTGACTTAACTCAGCAGCTCAACATTTTATCCGACTCGACTCAAATCTGACTCATTTGGTCAGAGTTGAGTCAAAGTTCTGACTCGACTCATGAGTCAAGCACAACCCTGGTGACCGGTCGTACTGCATCAGGAACCGTCGCCACTTGCAGTACATTCCGGACGTTCCTGATCCTCGTCCCGGCGCTCAGGCAGACACAGCGAACGACGGACGAGGAGCAGAGGAGCAGGCATGAAGCAGCGCGGAGACCGGCAACAGCAGCCCAGACGGCGGAGGCACAGATTGCCACGCCTCCAGCCGCATCGCTGACGTACTAGCAGTACTAGCCTCGATTCGTACTAGCAGTGGCCGCGTGATTAAACCTCGTCTGCGCTGGGACCTGTGAGCCGTTCATTTGGGCTGCTAATGAGATGGGTGTCTCGTTTGGACGTTGTACATGGTTAGCGGTTTAGAAGCGCCTCTCCCAAACTTTGAGGTTGCCCAACGTTCAGTAGTTTTGATGCCGAAAAGGGGGAAGGTGTATCGGGATGTTACTTTGCAGCAGTTTAGTGTGCTTTCACTTGTGGCGCATGTGTGACTTGTCTTGGAGACGACGTTGCCGTCTGACGCTGTATGTGGTTGAACACAGAATCGTACTGAAACATCGGCATCATGTCCCGTTCTTTTAGGTAGCGCGCCGCCCCGCATGAAGTCAGCGTGGCTTGATTCAGGCATCAGGGCGCGTTCACAAACCGAGCCCTCCTGTGCCGCCTGCTGGCAGACCAGCATCTGGCTCATGCCGCCATGGATGCCACCATGCAATTTTACTACCATACGAAAGGAAATATTGTACCCTTTCACACAACTGTCTTAGACGAACACTAACAAATGAACCCGTCGGTGACTCGGCTACTGCTCATAGCACAAGTCATCTCGCAAGGTCAGGTCACTGCTGAGTTGAAAACCGATACCAGAAGCACGTATTCATTCAATATTCCCATTTTTGTCATCATAAGAGAAACTGTGCAAAGTGCAAACAGATATGGCGAAAAGAAAATAGATGTCCCGATACTATCGTTACACCCTGTTCATACTGATAAGCGGTTTAAACATTACAATTCCCTAGCATTGCACTGACCCTGGTGTCCGTGGTAGATGTGGAGACAGTCCCGAAGTGCCAGGCTCAGCAGATATGTGATCAGGTGCTGTTGAAGTTCATGGCACTGGAGTAAATGTTCGCTGGGATCTCGTGGGTTGACACTGGGGATATAATAGCCCGGTGTCACGACCTGGTATCGGATAGTTTTCTTTATCACCAATTTAAATTGTAATATCAACACCAGGTTATGTTTTGTTTTCCACTGCACCTGTTAGTCTTTATTATCAAGTTACATTGTAATGAATACTTAACATAAGCTGGCACAACATCCACCCATTCACAGATAAGCTTAGGCCACATATGCAGAGACGTGCACATAAACCTAGCCCACATATACACTGCTAGCGGTAAACATTGACCATTGTATTTAAATGCGGTTAAAGAACGGATAAAGAAGAAGATGCAGCACACCGCATCTTCATTTCGTTACGAGCGAGCGAGCGCAGCGAGCGAGCGAGTTCATACTGAATTAAAGGGACTATCCCACCTTCTAAAATGTTGTTAAAACCAGTTAAATTGTGCCCGACTTTATAGATTGGATGACCAGGAACACGGTTCTGGCATTTATTTTTCATTAAACATCTTAGGCTTCCCATATTCCAAACACAACTTTCAAATATGTGACGTCACAGCCCAAAATTACCTCCTTCCCCAGGCCACATTACTGTCATAAAGCTGATTCTTTTTACTCTGTAGGCACCACAACAAAGTTCAGACCAAGTTTTAAGCGATTTTTCAACGAACAAACCCATTTAAATCAGAATGACTAAACGAGGTGACGTCACACTAACGGTCGCTCCATGTTGAAGATAGGGCCTTGCGCAAGGCCCATTTTCAAATGAAGGGAACGAATTTCTTCAACACCAAGAGGCCGCGGGGGTTGCAACCTAGATAGATAGTGGTTTCTGAACCTCGCCGCAAACTTGGCTATCTCAACTCAAACCCCATGTTAACCCGCGCCCTGATGGGGGGGGCCATTTTGGCCCCCCCCATCCCATTTGGTTTTTCTTAAATAGCGAGAAAACGGCGGCGCGCAGCGCCGCCAAATTTTGGGTACCTTACCGGGCATCAATTTGACACCTTGGGACAAAATTTCAAGTCACAGGTCACCTCAGGTCAGGAGTTATTGAGGTCAAACTGAGGTCATGTTCGAGCAAAAATGAGCAAAAAACATGACATCTTGAAACGCTCATCAATTCTACAGTTAACAAGCAATTTTAAAGTTCTTTATGTGGTTGTGTAGAGAAAAGACGGCGCTACAAAACTGCTATCTCGGATTTTCGAAATTTTGGGATTTTGACCCCCAAAAATAAAAAAAATTGATTTTTTTAGAAAAACTCAAAAAAATTCCAAATTTTTTTCGAATTTCGAAAAAACCGGAATATATGTGATAGTCCCTACGCTTTTCGATATACATACCAAATTTTAGATCGACACCTCTTTTTTTGGCCAAGTTATAGCAAAAAACCTGTTAAAAATTGATGACGTCAAATTTTTGAACTCATTTTTTAGCAATTCTAGACCTCGTAGCGCAAAACGGAGACCACCATTGAACTCCCCGTGACGAGCTGCATCAAATCGATACCCATTTTATGCAAAAATATCAACTTTGAAATTTGACCTAATTTGACCTGACCTTGACCTGACCTTGACCAAAACTTGACCTAAGCTGGCCCTAAAGTCTGTCTGACCCACATAATCGCATTTGTCATGTAAAATGGACCATAAAACATGTATCACACGACACTTTCATATTGTGACCCCCCAGTGACCTGACCTCTGTGACCTGACCTGGTATCAGTGACCTCAAATAGCAAAATATGTGTTTGAAGAACATTTCTCCACCGATGATTTTCAATGAAATGCATTTTACTCGATTTTACAACGCATTTCTTGAAATGCCTGTAAACGGTGAAAATTCGACCTTTGACCTGACCTGTGACGTAATCGGTTTGACCGAGGTCAATGAAATTGGGTCACAAGGTAGTTCCCCGTTGGGGCTATCCAACACCGTTTACCGCTTGTCGCTATGTTGCGTGGTTCTCGAGATCTGAGGGGGGGAGGGCCAAAATGGCCCCCCCCCCATCCGCGTTGCTCGGCAGACCCCATCGCGCGGGTTAAAGGTGGGATAGTCCCTTTAAGGGAAAATCCTGAGTATGAGCGGCCGGCCGGCCGGCCGTGGGGACGCTCTTCAAAAGCTAATATCTTAGGAACGGGACATCCGATTGACAAGCGGTCTTCTTTACTGAATGTCACTTGGACGTAAAAGTTCTGTGGTGTGATGGCCACCATGCGTTCTTGCCAACCACCGCACGTGGCGCGTGGTAAAGTTGGACATTTTTTAAGAACCCCCAAAATTGCAACCTCGATAACGGCACAACGGTTGGGCCGATTGAATTGAAACTCGGTACACAGTTAGGTCTCCATCAGATAATTCATCTGCATGTGTTAAGATTGGGGTGCTACCGCACGTGCGCACGTGCAGGGGGCGCTCCCAGATCTCGAGAACGGCTGGGCCGATTGCGCTCAAATTTGGTACACGGTTGGGGACCAGTTAGTAGGGTGCCGTGCACAAGTCAGTTTGGACCCCGCTTGCACGTACGCACGTGCAGAATGCCGCTTCCAGATCTCAGGAACGGCTGCGCCGATTGCGTTCAAATTTGGCACACCGCTAGCGACCGGTTAGAAGGGTGCTTTGCACAAGCCCGTTGGAAGTACCCTCTCGCCCTTGCGCACGTGCAGGGCTCACTATCTCGCTCGCTCGTTCTTCGCCCAAAAGGCGTTTTACTGGTTTTATGGAACTGTGATAAACTTACCAAAAGCGTAGGGACAGCGTTGTAAACTCTGAATCTGAATCTGAATCGAGAGGAGCTTGGGCGATGTAGCTGGTTGGGCTGAAGTGTTTGGCACAAATACCAGTACCCATGACAACCTCCTCTATGTTGCATGCAGCCAGCCACGTTTTTCTTTGAGTTCATCTTGGGGCACCTGAAAAAGGTTAACGTGCTTAAAGTTTGTTGACCAAAAAGTGCCAAGCTTTTACGATATTAGGCTGGCGATGGTAATAAAGAGCAGCTTTATGCTGTAACTAATTATGCATGTGCGTGAATACATTTTTAAATCTTCTTGCAAACCAAGTCTAGCTTTCTGGCATTTTTTAACAATCTCAGTCCTCTATTCAATATTTGTCTACGAGTCTTGTGTACTCTTGAGAAAACTACATCAATGCAGGAGCAGAAAGGTCCAAGAGGTTTTATATTAGAAGTTTAATTTGGCAGGGCGGCACGCATTTACACAGTCACATCTCCATCTTTATGGAAATGCAGTGTAACTAGGACGAGCAAAAAACTTCATGCGGTTCAGGCCCACAGATCATCTTTCGAGGCTGCATTCCACCGAACCAGACAGGATTTGTTGCGCGGCGCCTCACACGAGACAGCGCGGCGCGGTGGCAGGGACGTCTCGTTCCGAAACCTCTCCAGAGCCGCTCGCAGAGTGAAACTACTTCTAGATTGAACAGACTGGAAAAAATACACGTTATGCCGAATATGTCCGGCGTAGTGGCGGGATGGCGCTGAAAATTTCAGCGCACGTCGGCATAACTTATGCGCCGAATTCAGCGGATGGCGGTAGCCGAATTTTTCGGCGCAGGGCGGCCGTATAATTTTTGGTGAATGACGGTTACCGAATTTAGTCGGCACGCTGGTCAATCTAGCAGCAGATTCGCCCTGCGGGCGGCTCTGGAGAGGGTTCGGGACGAGACGTCCCCGCCCCGGTCGTCGCGTGCTCGAACTGGCGAGCCGCCCTGAGTTCACTCAGCGGAGGAGCGACCGCCCAGGTGAGGCCTTCACCCTCGGAGCGGATAAGGGTATGGAAGACCTTATTGAACATCGCCAAGCGTCGCAAAGTAATATTGCAGTCACGTTCCTGCCCACTGCGGTATCGAGGGGAATGAGAGCGCGGACGACCTTGCGAAACAAGCGGCCGCCCTGCCCTCTGAGTCTGACGCCCGACGCTGACCCGGATGGTTCATTGTGCGGCCTCGCGTCAATGGCGCGACAACTGGTCCGAGTCACTATTCAAGCCACTCCTCGGGAGCACGCCGCCGCTCCCTATCCCCGAAGCAGACCAAGAGGACGCCGTTTCGGTGCACCAGGTGAGGGCGGGGCCCGGGCCACTGGGGCCGCTCGCTCAAGTACCTGCACTAGATTGGCCGTCTCCCATCCGAGGCGTGCCAGCAGTGCCCAAACAAGCGGTGACCACTGCCCCGCGGCGCTCTGCGCCGTGTGCAGAGAAGAGGCTGATGTGCCGGGGCACGTGCTGCTCCGCTGCCGGGCCTTCCTGGCACCCGCCAGCCTCGTACACACCGCTCCGTCGATTTTTGTGGCCCCAGAATTTCCGGCAAGGACCTTGCGCTTCACGGCACGACACTACAGTGCGCCAAGCGAATAGTGGTATTGGGCTTCCGTGGAACTCATGGAAGTAAAAACTTGTTCGGACGCTCAAACATAGCCCATAGGAGTGTCCAAGGCCCCAGGACGCTCCATCTGGTTGATATAACCAGTAACCTTGGTCGGTAGATAGGCACATGAGCTTTATGCATATAAAAGTTGCGTAATTTTGACGCAAATAAGCACCCAATTTTCAGCACAAATCATGTAGAAATTTCAGCACAAAATCGCTTGCGCTGGATTTCGGCGCATGAGTGTCTCACGGGCGTCCGGCGTAGTTGTAGTGTATGGATGTTTTCCAGTTTGGCCGGGCGGGCTCCAACACTACGGTAGTGTGCAACAAGTATGAAACCAAAAGCGCCAACAGCGCTCCGTGAAACACGGCCCAGAACTCTGTGTAGAAGAATTGGAATAAGGAAAGACAAGCAACTGTAGGGATCATCACTGCGATTAGTATGAGCCTTGGCCGCCTCAGCCTTGGCCTTGGGACGTACCTTGTTGTACGCTGAAAAATGTCATGACTCATCCTGCCTCCAGGCCATTGAAGCCAGGGTATATCAGTATCATATCATACCCTGCCTGATATAATAGAACAACAGATAGATTGAAGCATCTGGGACGCCGGTGAAAACAGGGCGCCGGAGGGCATATTAGTCACGTGACATTTGGAGCTTCTCCCGCTCCAAGGGCCTTCTATATGCCAAACGTCACGAGCTGTCTAGAGTTCTTGACAACCACCTGGACAAGGAAAGGAGGAAGGCCAACATAGTCATTCATAACCTACCCGAACAAGGAGAGGGCACTCTGCACGAGAGATCAACACGTGACCAGTCTGCAACCACATCCATGATCAGGGAGGTGATGAAAATAAACATCACAGCATCAAAGTCATTCCGAGTTGGAAAGGCCATTCCTGGGAAACCAAGGCTTCTTATTGTCACCCTGGACAACCCAGCTTGTAGGCAGGACGTGCTGAAAGGTGCTCCCCAACTGCGCCACTCTGCACAGCACGGCAACATTTACATCACACCTGACCTGACCCAACAGGAACGAGAGGCAAACAGAAAGCTGAGGGAAGAGCTGGCATCCAGACGGAGATCTGGTGAGGACAACCTGAGAATCAAGGGGGGAAAGATAATCTGTGTCAATCAGGAAACAAGTAACGATGCCTCTAGCACGAGCAGGAACCCTGGTGGCACCACTGTGCCTTCTCAAACTCGTCAGGCTGGAAACATCGCCCCTGGCGCGCCTGTACCTGCCCAGACAACCGCTGTGCCTCCAGCTGTTGGCATGGCATCCGCCAGCCACGAGGGTAGTGGCACAGCACAGAAACCTGGTGCAGTGGATGGCAATGGTGGCACACCTTTGCAAACCCCAGCACCTAGCTCAGAAGCCCACCCAGCAAATGGTTTGTGACTAAACCATCCAACCTCTCGCAACAAGAAGAATCTCACGGTTTTATACACAAATGCTGACCAGTTTATTAACAAACGAGATGAACTGTGCCTGCTGATTTGCGGTGATGAGCCTGACGTTATCCTCATCTCTGAGGTAATTCCCAAAGCCCAGAGAAACCCCATTGCTCCTGCACTGTTAAATATCCCAGGTTATGTAATGCATTCCAGTTTCGATCTATCCACCCCAAACCTAGGCCAGAGTGGAACTAGAGGCGTATGCATTTACACGGCAATACACCTGAAGGTAACAGAGGTTCATCTAGAAAAATCATCTGTGGAGAACACCTGGGTAAGATTGTGCCTCGCAGGAAGTGATAGCCTTCTGGTGGGCTGTGTCTACCGTAGCCCATCTGGTGCAATGCAGGAAAGCACAAAGCAACTTGGAGAACTCTTCCAGAAGGCCTGCTCACTGCATGCTTCACACCTGATCATTGTTGGCGATTTCAACTTCCCCCACATTGACTGGGAGTCTGAAACATCATCTGCACCTGCATCTCATTGCTCACACCTGTTCTTAGATATGGTACATGACTGTCTTCTCTCTCAGCACATCAAGCGCCCGACTCGATACCGATCGGGCGAGACACCGTCAGTGCTGGACCTGATCTTTACCAACGAGGAGGGCATGGTGAAAGACATGCAGTACCAATCTCCACTAGGAAACAGTGACCATGTGGTCATTCGGTTTACTCTCTCCTGCTACACTGAAGCTTCCGCCTCACTCCCCGAGTATCACACCATAACTGACTACGAACACCTCTCCACCGCCCTTGGTGAACAAAACTGGTCCGATATGCACAGCATGAACCTGGATGAGGCATACCAGACGTTCAAAGCGCGGCTCTCGGAGGCCCTGACCGAAAGCTCCAGGAAGAGGAGATCGCGTCATAAGAAAAACATCTACATGAACTGCAGAGCCATGCAACTGAGGAAGAAAAAGAAGTCGCTCTGGACTACATACCGATACACGCTTGACCCCATCGACTACGCCAGGTTCACACGCTGCAAAAATGAACTCAGGAAGCTCACCAGAACTCTACGCAAGGAATACGAGTCCAAGCTAGCTGGCAATCTGAAACAGAACCCAAAGGCCTTTTGGAGGTATGCCAACACGAGGCTTCGCACCAGGAGCAGAGTTGACAACCTGCTAAACGAACGGGGAGACCTGACATCATGTGACCAAGACAAAGCTGACATGTTGGGCAAGTACTTCAGCAGCATCTTTACCCATGAAGATACTGAAGCACCGGATACGGACCTTGATTGGCAGGGCCCCTTCCTCGATAATGTTGAAGTATCTCCCCAGAAAGTGGAAGGAAAGCTGCTGTCCCTCAAGACAACCAGCGCGCCGGGGCCTGACGCGATACACCCCCGAACCCTTCGCGAGTCAGCACTGGCCCTCTCCTCCCCTCTGAGCATACTGTTCCGCAAGTCCTTGGACACTGGGTCGCTTCCCTCGGACTGGAGGACAGGCGAGATCACCCCGATCTTCAAGAAGGGTGACCGCCAACGCCCCTCGAGCTATCGTCCAATCACTCTGACTGCCATCCCTGTCAAAGTCCTCGAATCAATTGTCCGAGACGCCCTCCTCCAACATTTCCGCGAAAACGGTCTGCTCTCCAGCGCCCAGCACGGCTTCCTCCCAAAGAGGTCGTGTACGACACAACTGATGGAGGCAATCGAGGACTGGAGCACCGCCATCGAAAACGGAGACAACATCGACATCATCTACCTGGACTTCGCCAAGGCGTTCGACTCTGTGCCGCACCAACGTTTGATCCGCAAGCTGTTTGCATACGGCGTCCGGGGCCCGCTTCTCAACTGGATCGCAGCCTTTCTGATCGATCGCCGACAGAGGGTTGTGGTCCACGGATGCAAGTCCTCATGGGCCCCTGTGACCAGTGGTATTCCACAGGGATCGGTTCTCGGACCTGTACTGTTCACAATATTTGTCAACGATCTTCCCTCGGAGGTCACTGGTTCGGTCAAACTGTTCGCCGACGACACAAAACTATACCGCCGCGTCCTGGGTAGCAGCAATGACCTCCAGACTGACATCGATGCGCTCGTCCGCTGGTCTGAGAAGTGGCTGCTCCCTTTCAATGCCCAAAAATGCAAGGCGATGCACCTCGGCCACCGGAACCCGGAACACGCGTATTATTTGAACGGCATCCTGATCCAGAACGCTGAAGAGGAGAAAGACCTCGGCATCGAAATCGACAACCAACTCAGTTTTCACAAGCAGACCGCGTCAGCCGTCGCTAAAGCCTCACAGATTCTGGCCGTCGTGAGACGCTCATTCGCCAACATTGACGAACACACGCTGCCGCTTCTCTACAAGACCATGGTTCGACCCCTCCTAGAATATGGGAACACAATCTGGGGACCTTTTGGGAAAGAGGACCAGAAGAGGCTTGAACGCGTGCAACGTCGTGCAACAAGAATGGTCGCACAAATCAAGCACCTCCCGTACCCTGAACGACTCCGTCGACTGGGACTACCATCACTCTACTACCGGAGGCGCAGAGGCGACATGGTGACCGTATATCAGCTGCTGCACGGAGGGTTGGCCATATCGCCAGAAAGCTTCTTGACCCGGAGCAACTCAGCTCGAACCAGGGGCCACGAGTGTAAGCTCGAGAAACCGAGGGCCACCAAACTCGTGCGCAGAAACGCGTTCAGCTTCAGGGTCATCAACGACTGGAACTCCCTACCAAGTGCGGTGGTCACGGCACAGTCCGTCAACCAGTTCAAGGCCCAGCTGGACAAGCACTGGGGTGGCATCATGTACGACACCCCCTATCCCTGAGAGCCTAGCCTGTATCCCGACACGAGCTCGATGAGAGCGGGATCCCCAGGCCAAGTGGCCTTTCAATCCCGATCACCACGAAGGTAAGGTAAGGTAAGGTGTAAATTTCACGAACCTTGATCAAATCGCCCCAGGCGCCCTGTTTTCACCGTCGTCCAGCATCTGGAAGACACGCATGAGCCCTGATCGGCGGCCGGCTAGTACTCTTGCCCGCGCTCACATACGTGCACGTTACCCCGGCAACGGGCTATTGACCAATGAGAAGCGAGAAAAGTGTTACGTCACTGCGATTTTTCATATACCTGTGCCCCCCGGACGTGACGTAGTGTGCTCGCGCGCGTGCAGGGTCTCTGCGATCGAAAAAGAGCGCTAGCAGCGCGCCACTCGACGCCGCAATTGTCAAAAGCGGCGTGTTAGTATGCTTTATTATGAATGATGTGTGTAAAAGTGGGTTTTTATGTTGTTTATTTGGAGGAAATGGTTGGAATAAATTAAGTTATTTTTATTTCTGTTGGTTGGAGTTTTTATTCAAAAGATTTCGGTCTATACCATTGATATTTACTGAAAATACCTTCGTTTGAATAAACTGCGGATATTTGGCAACTGAAGTGTTAGGTAAGCCTAAATAATAAGTAAAAAGGTAAGAAACACCCTGATTATCATTTGAGAAACGAAACTTATATGAAATTCCCTTATAAGACTCGCTCAATATGCTACTCCGCGGTTTATGCCCCCAGGGTGTCCGAGGGTTCCCGTTAGTTTGTCGTTGGCGCTCGGCTCGCGCGCGAGCCGACGTCATCGCCCGTGACGTCGGCTCGCGGAATGCGTCATACCCTGCACACAAAATAGCCGGCTGCCGAACAGCGCTATGGCTTCATGCGCCATAGATAGCCTTGCTTGCGCCAATTGTTTATAATGAGATTAAAGTTGAGACCACTAAATTATTACACGGCTGTAGGGCAACGTGTTGCCCCGTACTCGGGGCGTAGCAGACACATGCAGACAGCAGTGCAGTGCAGTGCCAAAGCAGAAGGCAATGCCTTAGGAGAGATTACAGGCAATGGTTAGTCAAATATTTTAGGTTGTGTATCTGGCTAAGCCATGACTCTAGTATCTATGACCGTGGGCTAAGCCTGGTGCACAACTATGACAGCCTGGTTTAAATATTTGAATTGCTATTGCTTGCAATCTATTCATGCGAGCAACTGTTTTCTTATCCCCGGGTAGGTGAAAATCAATAGATCAGGTTAGGTCAGGTTTTTTTTTTACTTCTGATAAGGCCATGTTTTATTTTCAATATATTTATTTTTTCGATTTTATGGAAT